GGAGATTTGCAATATGTAACAACGTATCTTTTTTGAAAATAACTATGTATTTTCTTTACACTAATTGATTTATCTCATTATTCTGTGCATAAAAGTATTAGAATACAGTAAAAAATTAATAGTTAACAAGATATACTTTATGTCAAATTATACTTTATGTCAAATTGCATATCAAATTCAAACCTTATAACTCAAAAAGTACTTAAAAAATTTTTTATTATAGTGTTTTGAAAAGCTTTCGAGGTCAGCTAAAAGAGTGTGTAATCAAAAATAAAGATTTTGTTTTAAAACAAAGTTGATTTCAAATATAACTTTTGCACGTTCACCCAAGGTCAAACTGATAAGATCAATAAATAGATCTTTTTAAATCCTATACCTTCTATTCGAAAAAATTTTCTGTAAAACTTATATTTTTCGAAATATTCATAAATCCCAACCTTCTTAGGATATCTTGTGTGTGTGTGTGTGTGTGTGTGTGTGTGCTGTATAAATACATAAAAGTATATTAAAGTATATGTATAATAAATATAAAAATAGAATTGTAGATGTATAAGAATATAAAAATAGAATTGTTGTCTTCTGTAAATTTTCTAAGTTAAAATATTCTCAAAAGCTGCGTTTAAATATAATATATATAATAAACTTATTCCTAAAAAATTTGACTTAATTAATTTAAATTGTTTTAAAATTTAAAAGAATTTTGAAAGTCTTAATGATTCCTGATCATGAATGGAACAAAAGAGACTCATAGATCTACATTCTTATTCAATTGATTTAAATAATTTTGATTGTCATCATATAAATTGAAAGGAAACAATCTAATAATAATAAATAATAATAATAATAAATAACATTATTTAACATATAACATTATTTAATGTTATTTGTAAACTTATTTGTGGCATAACTTGACTGATTTTAATATTATTTTCTAATTAATAGATAGATCTTATGAATCATATAATATGGAAAATTTAATAAAATTAATATAAATTTTTTTTTATGTTGAATTGTTTTTTCGACCGTGATAGATATCCTATATATAATAATCATATCGATCATATTGAAAATTTTAAAGTTTGGTGCAATGAATTGCCGCAAATGCCAAAAGAGTTCGCTCAGGTAAAATTTTTTTACTCGGAATATCCAAATGCAAAATTTACTTTTGTGTAACATAAGTCTGAAATATTGATTGATAAAGAACGCTACTACTTGAGAAACTTATGCTAATTGCTATTAGCAATTTTAATTAAATACTTGTATATGCGTGCAATTAAAGAAGGGAAATCTCTAGCGAATGTTTGTTAGAAATCTTTATTTACACACCATCCTGTTGTAAGCACTTTCTTGATATAATACTATAATACTATAATTACATTATAAATTAAATTATATATTTCTATAAGAAATTTTAATATTTTAAAATAAAAGTAAAAAAATCCAAAGTAAAAACATAAAAGAGAAAAAAGTATATATTATAGCAATAATTAAAACAATACAAATATGCTGCGGCAAATGTCGAAATCTCTCAAAATTCTTACACGTTCAGTAAACAGTAAAGTTATCACTTAAGTTTAATTAAAAAGAAAATATTATAATAAAGATTGAAAAAGTATAATCTAAATCAATATTCAAAGCTCTCGAAATTTTGAGCAACAGATGTAAATATTTTCATGAAGTTAATTAAAAATAAAAGTACTAAAAAGTCTGCTAATATAATAATAAACTTTAAATTCAGATATGTTGTCTGTTATTATAAATTAAGATAGTTTAAATTAAAAAAATTTGAAAGGAGATATTCCTTTTTTGCTATTACAAAGTAGTGTGTACCATGTATTACACAGATTATAATGATCAATGTACAAACAAAATAAAGTGAGATGAAGATGAGCTTAAGAATTAATAATAGATGACAATAAAAATTTATATATAATGATTTTATATATACAAGATTACATATCTTGTATATGTAAAATTTTTTTAAAAGTATTTCAGAATTAAAGAATTTAAAAATTAAAATTAGAAAAATATAGTGGTTTATAGTATAGTGGTGTATAGTATAGGTGGTGTATAGGTATAATATAGAAATTTATATAACTGCATTTACATGATATAACCGGTAAAAATTTATTTAAATATAATGTTGCTTACAAGTGGCTTAACTTTACAAACAAAATGATATATCAAAGTATAGGCATCTCTCAATACATTTGATTCTATTTAATTGTATAAATCAAATAGTTATATTAGTGAAATTAATGATCGCAATTATATTAATTGATAATCATATAATTGTTAAAATTTGTTACGTATTGATATTTCAGTAAATATTTTTAACAGATAAGTATTTTACCATATAAAACTTTTTTTTAATAACAATATGGAACGTATAAAAATATTCATGAAACTATATAAAATAGTAAGAAATTTTATATTTTTGTTTAAAACAAACCTTAAAGCAATAAAATCTATATGTATAATATTTGTATAGATTATTGCTTCCAATTATAGCTTTGTTTTATTCATTTTCCGAGTTATTTTCAAAATTGAAAAAATGCATCCTTTTATTTCTTTCATAATACTTTGGGTATTTCGGAAGTGTGTATATTATGTATTTATTTCGAATATTTTATATAATATTTAATCCTTTCGTATATATTGTCTATACTAATATATTTCATTTTTACAGATCTTTATATTTCATATTTATTGACCAGATACTTTTACAATCTCACGTAATAATAACATATTGCTTACATACGTAATCATCTTTGCTTTTCTATTCTAAATCATCACAAATTATTCAGTCACTAAGTACTTTAAACTTAAGCCTCAACATTAAACAATCATCTACGAAAATATATATATATATAAATACGCCGATAAACATTCTCGAATCCATTCTCTCTACACATTCATCTTCACATGTACATATGATGATAAACTACCTACTGACGCGTTTATGTGTATCAGACTATATAATATCAAACTATCGCGAAATGCAGTCCTGCAAGTGAGGCTAGTCACAAAATAATGAACTCTAATGTCGATTTTCTCGGCAATCAAGAATCAGTCGTTCATTCGTTTATTCATTTGCAGTCATCAGTTCACACTTGCGTCATTCAGCCTCATTCCAGCCATCGGATGATTTTTTTTAATCGACTAGTCACGTGATTTCGCCGTTGCTTGCCTTTTATTGCCTCCATCGCTTCGTCATGGTGTGCACAATATCGTCGCGACACTTTTGACGATTTTGATGAGACTATTACGTAGTCTTACTCAATCGCTTTTTCCACGTGCCCATTTTCGCTCTGCGTTTCCCGCCGTTTTCCTCAGGCCCGCACTACGTCCACGGGCAAACGGATGCACTTGGCATGTGACCAGCCAATTAAGGAAGGACTTCAACGATACGCTTTCGCTCTCTCCGCCCAGGCGAAAAGATCCACGCTGGGTATCGCCTCAAAATCTGTGCAACGTCTCAATTCGTTCCTAGAATAAAAAAGAAACGGCATTTAATTAAGCACGTAGTGAATTTTGATTAATTTGTTGATTAAATTACGCCACAAAATCTCAAACTTACCCTGCCTGCGGTTTGAGGAACACATTGCGTTGCATGTGCGTGATGTCGTCACTATTGTCGCAGAATATTCGAGCTAGAGTAACGCTTCGCAATTGAGCCAATTGCTCTGTAACATAATAAGATAATCAATTAGATTTAAATTTCTGTAATAATATGTCTAAGCAATTATTAAGCTTACCAGGAGTGAAGGGGTACGGTTGTGTTGCGGAATCGTAGAAGAATCTGTCAGTACGACGGGATCTGGAGAACTGCTCGTAAATGAGACAGCGGAAAGTCGGGCCGACCATGCTGTCGTCTGCTGGTCTCTCTGCCATACCACCCACGACAAGATCGACGTCATTGGGATGGGAATAGATCGTTCGCAGTTTTCTCAACATCTAATAACCGTAACGACAATTACATAATAATGATTCATTTATCGCAAAAATATTAAAAAGAGCGTTTTTTTTTCAATCTTACCTCCACAGGAATGTAATCTAAGAAATCATCGAAAGTCTTGGCAACAGGAAGCCCGCAATATCTGCGATAATAATTGTAACCTGGAAGGCCATGATCACGGCCACGTTCAATGTCCAAGCTGACAGCATCAAAGCCTAAATCATTGCCATTGCTGGTGTACAACTTGCTTGTCATCTGTAATGCAAGAATGATGATTACATCATTGTACAAGATTCTTTCTAACAATAACCACAATCCTTTTTTTGTGTGAAATAAATAGTATTTTAATGTCTTACTTACGTCTGGAATAAGACTGATGTCCATCTTCTGACTGGTTTGAGTAGCAAGACCACGAAGCAATCCGTCAAATATCTCCTCCGATTCGATTACACGTGGATTGAAAAAGTGCTCCGCTAGCTGTAGCGTTCTGTTTTGTTGGCGAGAATTATCCGGCAATCTGGAATGAGAGGATCATGCAGTTTGTTATATTTGTACTTTGATATAACCAGATTTATTCTCGGCAATGCTTACATCAGATTTCCCTGCATCAGCGAATTCAGGAAACGCAGCGCTGCAGTGGCGGCTTCGTTGCTGACTGCCGGCTCGTCATCAGAGTTATAATTACGGCTATAACTATTTCCTACGGTGAGATCGATGGCCCGAGAGTACCTTCTACCCAGCACGATGGGCAGCCATTCTTTGAATGTGATATGCTGAATTTCCGCGATTACGATACGCCTGGCCTCCTGATACAACGTCTCATCCGACCAGTCCGGATTCAACATGGCAAGTTTATCGGCGACGCGATTATGTTCACGATGCCAGATTGTATGAATCACAGCTAATTGAGGATCGATGTTCACACGGTCGTCACCTGGTGGACGCGAATTTGTTAGAACGCCTTGTTACAAATCAATATCAATATTTGATTTGATGAATGTAGAATTAAGATACTCACCAGAATTATAGCAGTTTTCTCCGCATTGTGACATTTCTTCGGTATCTCCTCTCGGCAAGTACGCGTGATTGTTTTGCATATCGACACGGAGATGTCCACCTTCGAAAGTGCGAAGCTCGCGAGATTTCTTTGAGGTAGAACCGTAAATCGTGGAGCCGTCCAAAAAGTGGCTCGCTTGATTCATCTGCAAATTACATTCGAATTATGAAGGTGCGTATAAGGTATCTTGAATAGGTCAATTTTTTAAACAACAATTTATTTATTTTTATACCTTTTTAAAAAACAAGAAATTTCAATGAGTTTTGATATGACAATTATTTACCTGTTCTACAGGTCCAAAAGTGCACTCCGATCTTAAGACAGGTAACGACCGAACGTAATTCATGCATCGAACGTAATGTTTGCCGTAAATAGGATCGTGGTCTGGCACACTGATTGGAGAACAATCTGGATGAATATGACGCGGTGACAACGTATCACCATCTGGCTGGCAGCAAGAGATTGGTTTTCCATTTGAGACTGCAATTAAGGAATAATTTTTTAATGACCTATTGTCAATGAGAATTATCTTTGCAGCCGAATTATGTAATTTATCTATTTAATTATGATATACATATTACATTAAGATCATTTATAATCTCTAGTCTTTGAAATCAAAATTTATAGTTGCAATAACAAAGTAAAAACTTTATACGAACTCATGCATATATTATCAATTTGCCAATTGGCACAAAAGACACATTACATTTCATCAAGAAATATATATCTATTTAATCAATCAATGTCAAATGCAAGTAAAAAAATCAATTTGTTAATAAATTGCACGAATAATAAAAAAATAAATAGAAATTCTGATGATAAATATATATATATATATATATATATATATATATATATAAATATTTTCAAATTTCATATGAATAGAATTGAGAATATAAATCATGCATCCAAATAGCACGCATCTGGCGCTAGCTTCACGGATTTTAAATATCGAATCGTCATAAACATTGGGCTCATTTACGTGACGAAAGGGAGTCGGTCGATTTATGTTAGTTAAAATTAGTCGCTTAAATTTATAAACGTGCAGGTATGCTTACCCATCTTACGAACTGGGGTGTGGGCTATATCGTGAGCGATGAACTGGCTCCATTCCATCACAGCCAGTGTCCTGCTGGCGTCCGATTGATCGTTCGCGGTGGACAAAGCGGCGCTTACGAGCCTCGCGCTTGGCAGTGGTTTCTTTGTTTGTCCGATACGCCTCGGTTCTTGGATGCCTGCTTCCCAAACCAAACATTAGATCTCTGTCGCGTTGACAATTTCAAGTCGCAAAATCGGAGTAAATCGGTGCTACTTTATTGATACGACGTGGTGCTTTGCTTTTACCGAAAAATATCCGCGGGATAGAAGAAAGACTCGTCACCAGTCGAGTTGCGCGAGTAAAATCATAATGAAAAACAATACGATTCCGCGACAATTCATAAATTCGATCAGCCGAACGAATAATTGCAACGACACAGATGATATATACAAGCCTCGTTATTGTTGATTACTCCGATTTTAGCGAGCTTAAACACGCACGCGCGCGCGCGCGCGCGCGCTTAAAATGGTACGCTTGGCAGTGCAGCACGAGAGGAAACCATAATAACTATAGCTGCATAAATCTTCTGTTCTAACTATAAATAGGCGAGTGTACCGCCGGATGTGCTAATCTTGAGAACCTAACTGTGCCTATAACCTGCCTTGTCCGCGCGATAAATTCAGGGAACGATCAAAGGAGTAATCTCGTCCGCATATTACGAAATCGTATATCCGGAACAAATCGTAAATTATTATTATTATTATTTACAAAGAAATTATTGTCGTTAGAGAGAAATCCACATCCTACATTCGGGAAGGATGGGTAATGTTGCCCCTGGCGCTGATCGGTCCCTGAAGAATCCTAAATCTCGTGCTGCAATGCGAGACTGCTAGCAAGTATTTCTTCGACTACACGTTCTGATGCGTTATCGAACGACGAGCCGTTTGTTGCGCTGCTGTTAAAGCAGAGATTGTGTAATTGCAGCCACGAAATAACGGCTTGTGGATGTACAATCGACGCCCTGGCATCGAAGTTACGGCCGCTCGAGTCGAAAACGCTCGCAGAAACGTCCCCGCGAAACTTATGACTTAATAGATGATCGATGAAGGCGTTCGAACGAGCGAACCGAGCTGGGAGGAGGTCCTGAATGTAACTAACTTCTGAATGTATCAAAAATGTGCCGTGAATGTACCGTGACAGAAGCGTTAACAACAATTTTTCTAGAAGCAATTTTGATGACTGTTAAAAAAAACACGAGAAATTCAGCAACAAGTGAGACAAAGGGTTAAGTTCCATCTAGTAACAAATACAATGTAAAATTTAAGCTGGGGGGGGGGCTACTTCTACCTCTCTTGCTTACATGTCAGAGCGGATTGCGCTCATTACATATTAAATGTTACAATTAAAACTACCTATTAAGTGCGACTGATAATCGCGCATTCCCGAGCTGAGTCCCCTCGTTCGGGTACCTTCGCGTGAATCGCGTAATTGCCGCAAATTGAACAGAAAAAAGAACTGGAACTAGTATTACATAATAAATATGATACATTATTAGGTATATCCGAATTAGTTTACATACACATTCTACTGCTGGATAGAATCTCCCGACCGGGGCACCCTATTGTAGGCAGTATATTATTTCACTGCTACACTCAGGCATTTTATGCTCTATGTGCCTTATCGCACAACAACTGTAATGCAAATCACAGAATATAATTTGTTAAGCCAATCGACGAACGTTTATCCATTAGCGCCCAAGGATCTGTGTGTGCGTGTATACGTTCTGTATGTATATGTACGTATGCACATATATGCGTTCACGTAGGTGTGTATGTATATAACGCGCACACAATCACACGCACACACGTACACACAATTACACACTGTGCGTGAATGTGTATCACGGAGGTAAGAAGTGGGGTAAGATGGGGTTAGTAGGTCGAGGTTTTACTGGTAGTTGAGACTGGACATCCAAGACGCCGTTCCGCTCGGATTGTAAAGTCAAAACGGCGACTTTTCTAAAATTATAGACGATATCTCAAAAAGTAGAAAAAAAGCGCGCCGTGACGCAAATCGCGCGAGTAAGATGACTTTTATCGTATAAGATAGATACGTCTTCCTATATCAAATTAGCGTCGTGCGAGTTCCGCGTATGCAAAGTGAACTCTACACTTGACACTTTTTAATTTTATTATTATTGCGCTGTGTGTTTATACGCTGGAACTCATCGCGCAATATTATAATAAAAATATCGATTATCTTGAATGTTTTTCTTCCTATGAGCGCGATGACTGTCAAACAGTATTTATGTAATATTTCTGTTGCACATACATAATTTGCAAAATGTCGAATCCTCTCATGCATTTCTGATAAGTTATATTCTTTATATCTTAATTTAAAATTTTTGTAAAGTTCTTTATATCCTTTATATTCTCATTTTTTTTAATTTTAATGAGTGAATTCAACATTTTATCTTACAGCTTTAAACATGTCAAGACGAGAGATACACATTCTCTGTAAAGAAATGTTAATTCCAGATTACTAATATATAACATTTAACTCTAGAATTGTTTGTTAATTATAATTTAAATTAATTCATTATAATTTATTATTCTTAAATTCTTAATATTCTTATTTATACGATGAGTAGTTTAAATAATTGTTTGATATTAATTTTTAATTCAACAATAAATTATATTAGCCCATTTTTCTAGAGTTAAAGTATGTTAACAAAACGCTTGATCATGAATATTAATATTCTAAAAATTCTAGCGTTTTAGAATAAATTTTCTACATTTTGAGAAGCGTGTAAAAACGCAGAAGCTATTGTGATACAACATGAAAAGACATTGACGTAATGCGAGGAATGCGATGTGTTGTTTAGTAAAGCTTTGAGTTCCATGTAACGAGAAACTCGAGAATTTTGCGACTCTGCAGAAAGGAGATACAACAATGTCGGAATTTTATCTGACCCGAGTTGGCCCAAGGTTGAAAACAAACGCATCTCTCTTTATCTACATTAGCAAAATCACAGTATGACACATGTATTATCATTTCACTGTCGACTGTCCGAGCCGATAGCGTTTAACCATCGCATTAACATCGCACGTCCGTCGTTCATTCCTGTTTCCTTTAAAACAAAAAGTTTAAACGTGACTAAACAGTTCGAACTTTTATCGCTGTATAGCGTTTGCACGATGACGCATTCCCGCGATACGTGTTTTTTGTTTTTTTTTTTTTTATTACATATAGCATTTAATATATATGATTGCGAACAAGCATCGCATAAAATAACACCGATTAATGTCGTGACATACGCGGTAAATATTCTCAGTTTGCGTAATTAAGATAAAAATAATAGTCGCAATCTTACAATCCAGTACAATCTTTTACATTGTTTATTATGACATACTGTCATTATTCCCTGACACTTCTGATTCGAAAAACACGCATATTTATCTTTTTTTATCTAAAAAAATCTTGTTTTATTAAAGATTGATTCTATTTATAGAAGGAAATAATCCCTCCGAGGGTAGGATGGGCGAATGGATGGGAAAATGAGAAAGAGAAAGGAAAGCGCCAAACGTTCAGAGGCTGCAAATAATTGTACGATTATTATTCCACACAAATTTAACGACAAAGATTACACGAGAAGAAAGCGCGCGTTTCCAACAAATCGCTCTACTACGAAATTTCTTCCCGTACAAAGAAGGGGGGGGAAAGGGGAACAAGGTTGATTCGCGCGCGGGGGCTGCTTTCGGTCCGCGACGGGATCTAAGGGGATGATGATGACTGCGCGATCAGCAATTATTTTCCTAGCGATGACGGCCGGTATGCAATTCAAGCCTGGACGAGAGATGAGAACGATGCCATATCGCGAGCTAATGCCATTGAAATCGAGAATGGGCTAGAGAAAAGGGGGGGGGAGGGGGCGCGATCGAAATAGGAGGCAGCTCTTACCGTCGAAGTATTGCGAGAACAGTACTCTGGTGTACGCGGTCATCGCGCTGCCCCAGCTCGGATTCTCAAGGTTGTTGCAAGTACCATCGATGCTGCGATACTTGAACGTTTCGTCACATTCCATATTATGCACCGCGGCACAAGATTCACCGAGCGGGGTGCCTCGCAGGCCCAGCGTCGATATGTAGCGGGCACAGTCATTCTTGTCTAAGCCGAACCTGTGACAAGATCCACGGAACATGTTCAGATATCGATTAAATTTTGGTACCAATTCGAAAATTAGTCACAATCACAAAACAATACTAACTGAATAATAAATTAATTATTATATCGTAAAATCGATTATTTATAAGATATTAATTAATTCATAACAGTTGTTTAATAAATAGTTAAAAACATTCTAATCTAATTAAAAATAAATAAATTAAGTATAAATAAAAGAAACGATTTTTAATTAAATGGAAACGTACCTTCGACAGTTTTGTTGTACGAGATACGACGACGCCTTCGTCGCTATGATAGCGTCAATGCTCCTTTCGAAAGCATCCGTGGAAGGATAAGAATTCCAGAATTGTTTCTCGGCCGGACTTCGCGCCTCGAGTTCAATACCGGCGTTCGCGATGTTGTTCTCGAGAGTGCTCATGCGATCGATCAACGTCTGCGCGAACGCGATCGAGTTGTTCAGAGTCGCCCCATCGATTCTGGGAAATCTTCGATTTTGAAACCGACCGGTGTCCACAATGGCTTCGGAACCATAATTAGTTGGCAATCCTGAAAGCACATCTTTGAAATATTTCGAAATAATAAAATTATAATCTAAAGAGATTTATTATATGAAAAAGTAATAAGAACGTAATGCAAAAATGTCATTTGATCAAACCTTCGAAGTTTAACCTAGGTCGTCGTTCCGAAATAAACCGATCTACTTGAGTATTATTACAGTATGTCTGGACTGTTTTCAAATCCATTGCTAAATTGACGCGAGTCCAAAAGTAAGGTAATAGTAGATGAAGTAGTTAAAATTGCAAATTTTTTTTAAAAAATTGCATAAAACTTTGCAAGACGATGTAACGCATAGTACAACGAGCTCGAAGTGCGATTTAATCGTAATATAATGTTAATTAACTGTTAATGACAGCATTAAGATATTCACGATGTATTTGCGGTGTGACAATTATATCGATATGACTTTAGAAACTACACATTTTTCAGACGGTAATTTTTGATCTCGCACGATTATATACTCTCTCAAAAAAAAAAAAAAAAAAAAAACACGAAAAATATCTCGCGATTACTACCGTACACTTTTTGTGTTATACATACAATACCGACTCAGACAAAATATTGTTTCAAGGGAAAATACTATAATGAGAAATACTATAATTCTTTATTTCTTATTTCAAACAATTGAGTGTTTTAAATAATTTCACATAAAATAAAAAGAAATTCGAAAATTCGAAATAAAAAGTCATTAAAAAATATTAATAATTATTAATTATACAAATAATTAAATGTAGAAAGGAGAAAGTGAAAGAGAATAAATTACAATTTACATTGAATAACTTCAGACCGGTAAGTTTTCTTTTTTTTTAACATTTTTTTTAACATTATGATTCATCTATGAAATATGTAGATACTCATGTATATTTTATTTCTATGTATATTTTATTTATTAAATTCTGTTGTTACGTATGTATCGTATTAATTCAATTTTGATTTCTTTTACGTGAACACAATCACTGACAGAGGAGGTACTGGTGGCAATTATATCATCATGATTCTATAAACCATATATTTTTCAAACGGTAATGTTCGGTTTTTGCATGTAATAATTTTAGACAAACACACGAATAATATACGCTGCGTGTTATACGTTACATAAATACAATACTCGATCAATTCAAGCAGAATAAATTACAATTTATATATTGACAACCTGGCACTTTCTCCTTTCTACATTTAATTATTTGTATAATTAATAATTATTAATATTTTTTAATGACTTTTTATTTCGAATTTTCGAATTTCTTTTTATTTTATGTGAAATTATTTAAAACGCTCAATTGTTTGAAATAAGAAATAAAGAATTATAGTATTTCTCATTATAGTATTTTCCCTTGAAACAATATTTTTGTTAGTGAGAATAATCTCGATCAAAGAGAAATAACAAATACAAGAGAGCTGATAAAACAGAATCGACCGACAGATGCAACGGAGAATCAGACGCTTTGTTAATTAATCAAAAAATTAAATTTTGCTAAGCTTTTTATCAAAGAACTTCGCGATTATTTTATTCCTCCTACGTATCGCTCGCCAGACTAAAATGAAAATATTTACGGAAATTAAATCGTTGATGATTGCCCTCGGTCTTTCATGTTTCGCGGTTCAAAAATTTCACTACCCCAAAAAATCCGATCGTGATGGATATACTTACCGGTGTAACTGGCAAGATAATTCTGTAGAGACTCGGGTAGCTTATGGGTGTTGATCGAATGGGAGTGACCCAGAAGTCCCATCGTCTGCAGGGACACCCAGAGGATCGCTAGAGTGGCAACGGAGCCCGCCATGACACCACCGGCTGCACAAAACGGAATGACGGACTAATGTAAGATCCCAAGACGTGCTTCCTAATACGTGACTCACACGATACGCTCTACGTTAACTTGCATGCGCGGCGCAAAGAGAACGAGTGACTCTCGTCGGGAATGAAAATGTTATATTAATATCGCGCGACTCGCCCGAAAGGATGTCACCGCGCGCCGCTTGGCTCCCGTCCCGTTAACAAATACCGGATACATATACATGTATATATGTATGGATGATCGTTGGTATGATCGTTGGTAAATTAAAGCTATCATCCATTCCCTTTTATTATAGATTAGCCATTGTAAAATACAATACAATGTCATTATACCGCATGTTTATCGCTAAAGTATACGCGATAATCAAATCCCGATTCTCATCTCGTATTGACATTGAGCATTAATCCTTGTGTCGTTTAGAGAAATTTGTTCGGAAAAAGAAAATTGTTAAAAATTGTTTAAAAGAAAAAGTTGTTTACGGGAAAAAATTCAAATTTATTAAATTGATTGATGTCCTTAGCGTACGTTTATTAATTTATTTGAAAGTAATTAAATTTCTAATTTCTCAATTTGACTTTCTTAGTCGTCTGATATAGATACGTTGGCTTCGTTTCATTTACCTATCATGCACTCACGTATGTGTGTGTTTGATATTCAAATAGATTTCTATTTTCTTATTCGTAGTAAGATGAAAATACTCTTAGCGTTCTCTTAGCGTTCGTTGAATATTCAGATTCTTATTAGTGAATTAAAAGACTCGATAAGATCTTCCAAGAAGCTTTTGATGACAAATAAATATAAATCATTCTGACCTTCGATTTTGTTGTATCGATTTAATGAAATTTCTTCGAAATTTCATCGAAGAAAATCAAAAATTGAAGGTAATACTAAACACGCGTTGTGCGGACGCAATAAAAAACCGTAGACGAATTCTTTGATCTCGATGAACTCGTAACGAAATGAAATTAGCATTCCAATGAACTGACGATGAATACTTCCAATAATATAAATATCAAATTCAAAATCAGCAAATGACAGTACGTAAGTCTTAAGCGTTTAAAAATTAAATATTTTCGCTGAAAAATTATAACGTAATTAAAAATAGAAATGTTTCTTATCGGATGCACCGTCAAGTTTAGGGTCAAGTAAGATATGTTTAAATGTATGAGTGATTCACTTATACCGGACGGCAAATTCTTTTCCTCGGCGACCTTCGCGCATGTTCTCTAGGTTATTTATAGACAGCGTTTTAGCGGGACTATCAGCGAAACGGTACGCCTATGTGCAATTCTTCGTTCATATCTCGTTAATATGGTAAACACGCGCGCGATACGGCTGTTCACGTGTATTACACATGAGCCAGATGAGACTAGCTTAATTCGTTATCACGTTGATGTTGATGCTGCGTTTCTCCTTACAGCTGCATATTAGCGTTCTGATGCCACGACGAGAAGGCATTAAGAATTTAGAAGTTTCATTTACCTGATATACTCCAAAGATCAAAGTCGAGTATTAAGAAATCCAAATTAATTGTTTTGGTTTGGCATTTGGAGACAATTTTGTACGATATTATATCTCAAAATAAGTTAATGATAATCTGTACGGTCCAAAAAGAGAATCCAAAAGTGATCCCCAAGTTAAGGGGTTGAAAATTTTGGTTAATACGTAATGTCACATTTTCAGTAAGAATTTCATTAAATTTCCGATAATATTCGTTAAATTTTGATTTATACGTACGCATGATTCTAATAGCATGACGGCAGAAATATGCTTCTCATTCTGTCATAGAACCGGCACGATTAAATTCCTCATTCCGAAAGTTGTTCTAAATTCAAAAACGATCATAGAGACGAAGAGAAAGAAAATACTTTTATATGATGTTATTGAGATACGTGACATGATGTTATTGAGATACGTGACATGAATACAAATTTATGTCTCGATGCGCAACATCATGGAAGTTTTTTTCTATGCATATCTATCGTGAACAGCACGATTCAACGTGATTACAAATGCAAGACGTGCATTCACGAGACACGTGAACAGCAATGATGACGTCGCTAATATTAGCATACTCTAGTAAACACATTCCAGTTTGTTAAGGAATGACTAAATAAAAGAAACATCGATTTTTCACGTTTCTCCACAGATGCAATAAAAAATAAAAATGTCCATGATGCGACATGACGTGATATATTTGCCAATTATTCGAGTATGTTTCACGCTAGAGGCATATATCATAATTCTATCCTTTTTAAATATTCAGTGAAATATTTCAAGTTTATGAGCTGTATTCATAGTCCTTATTTCAAGACTGTCTTAACGTCTAAGTAATATTTTAAGATGATAATATAGCTCAATGTTTGATTTATGACACTTTAAGTATGTACTTAAAACAGTATTAAACTTAAGGACTGATTGCGATTGGACTGACCATGAATATCAGTCTAAAAACTACTTTCATTCATTAATATATTGATAACGTTTTTTTTTATTCTATTGAGAGTCCTAAGGAACACACTGGGAAATCATTACCGGACACATGATCCATAGGCTTTTCTAATCCGTGCATTGCGTAGACCCAACGATTATTGTCGACCGGTGTGATGAGGAACATCCTTCTCCGAGGACGACGCAACCAGACGCAAGATATCTTGGCTAATTGACTCGCCAGCACGATTCGTATCTCACTGTTTTGTTCAATCCCACCCAGATTTTCACCCAGAAAGTTCAGCCAGAAAACTCAGCGAGAAAAATACGAAACTTGTGCGGGCCTCACGACGATCACGTGATGCGCCTCGAAGTTCGTTCAGCAGACCTGCATCAGGTGAACGCGAGAAGGTGAACGCGTGCGTGGCGAACGACAAAGACGCGCTTCGAAGACGGTGAGACACAACAACGGAGTAGTCTCGTATCGCGAATACGCGGATTCCCCTCTCCAATTCCTCACCGTCTCGATTCGCGAGTCCGTTGGAGAACTCTCTTGCCTTCTCTCGTTCATTCATTATTTATGCGAATTGTCCCTGCCTCCCTCTCTCTCAGGATCGACATGATCGATTTGAATTGGGATACAGCTAGTACTGATAATACCTGGTTATCCAAATACTTGGGTATATACTGTATTCGAGAGTAATGTGATGTGTGAGTAATATGATGGATAGCTGGATACTGAGGTAAAATACTTCCGAATATCCGACTATCCATAATACCGGGATAATACCGGTAATAAAGATAATCCAAGTATTTCGTAAGTGTTCTTGTTAAACGTCCGCAAAATGGATGATTTGATAATGTAAATCAAATCATATTTGGGTAAAGTTTTGAGTATACATACTTATTTAAAGCGTGCAAATAATTCAGATACCCAAAGATTTGGAAAATACTAGCCAGATAATAAATATAATTCAAGTATTTTGGAGATTTAGATATTTTCGTCAATGAAAGGCACATTTGAATAAAAGCGTTCGAATATTTGAATAAAATTTTGTACTACTCACGATCATGTATATCTTAGTCGTAAAAAAGGTCTAATCGATTTGCGTGTGCTGACTTTTCAAGACTAAATTTACTTTGATTCTTTATTTTGAACAACAGAGACTCAGGTTCTGTTGTATCCTAGATACGTTCCTGAATACTCTGCACATTGTCCGTCTCGTTTCCTCTTTCACATTTTTTTCATATGTTTCTCCGAACTCATTTCCTCACACGCTAAAATCTGCTTTAGCATCTCGTTCCATTCTCGCTCTTTTTCTTTCTCATTTCGATCTCTCTCGATCACGTGCACACCGATTACGCACATCGATTCCTCAAAGGTTCTCCAGCTCAGTCTCTCCTTTGGTCTCTTCATTCATCTCGCTTCGCATGATAACTCGCTCGCGTTTCCATTGGCTCGCTACTTCCCTACCACGAGCGGGTTTACCTTATTCAACGCAGAAAAAAAAATTCTATCACTCGGTGAGCACGTGCTCGTCCACCTCCATTCCTCCAAGCGGCTCGTTGCGTGCCGGCTTTCAGAGTGTTTCTGCCAAGTTTTCGTTTCTTCCTTCGATAATACTTTAGCTTTTTAATACGCGTCTTTTATATCGACAAGGCCAAAATTTAAATATAAAATTAAATTTAATTACCCATATAAAAAAGTACAGAGAAAATATTTACTCCAGGTATCGCTTCTTTTTAAGACGTAATCTCTGTGTCCTTAGTAATCGAAATTTTCTTATGAACTTAATATTGTCTAAATGTTCTATTTATGTTCTAAGAAATCTTCTTTTATCATTATTTTATTTTATATGTTAAAGTTAAAAAAATATTTTGATATACGGATGTTCGCGTATCAAATGTTAGAATCATAAGTCTTATCAAAGATAGAAGCGAAAAAAAGCGATAGAAGTGTAATCAGAGACAAAGATATTTTTTAGTCTTCAAAATTCTTTATTGTCCCAACAACAAAGTTGATTTTATCGTGGATAAGATTTACAATCTGACTTTATATAACAGTCGATATGTAATAGCAACTCCGCACGAAATCATTTAAAGACAGAAAGAGGAATTTCATTCTTCTATATACTTTTATAGATTTTCGTTCTCTATACCTTAGGTCTCTTTACTAGAAACTATATAGATCTTCTGCCATTTCCGTACCCAATCCCCTACAGGTCTCCCAGTATTTTTCCACTACTTTCGCCGTAGAAATATACAGGGTGTACCAGAAAACACGTGCGCGCGTAATAATAATTAATAGTAATTAAATTATAATACTTTTTGCTAAATTTTTCACAGAATTTATCTTTTGGCAAAAATAGACCTAAAATGACACATGAATATTTTTAGTATTGACAAACAACTTATAACAAAAATAGCAGAAGCACCTTTAAAAAGAATAGGTTCAACGATACTTCTATATTTGGCACTGAGAAGAATTGTTTCGTGTGTAATACTTCCACGTGATTGGCCCAACGAACCCACAATTAAATTGCAGATTGCAATTTATTAAATCACTGTGTCGAGTGATTCGCATGCAAAACAGCATTATATCTGCGTGAGACTTGCGCTCGAATGTGCGTGCGAATGTTATGTGGAGCCATAAAACCTCAATTGAAAAGGTATCGTTGTTAATAAAGAAATGATAGAGCGTTTATAAAGTTCTGGTATTCATTCGATTAAGCCTTGATGATAAAAGTGTTAAGGTCAACTTGAGGGAAGTTTATAAAAAGAGCGAAATGATCGATGTAATACACAGATATATATATATATATATATATATATA